CCTTTACCCCCGGCTTCCAGTCCCGTTTCCCTTTTGCTCTCCTGCCCTACTAACCTTCAGTCTGTCTTCTTTCTGTACCATCCACGGGGTCCAGCTCTTGTCTATGCATTCAAATCAAGCAGCCTCCTCCGTGCTCCCTGGGCCCAGTGGGTATGTCTACACTGCAGTTAGATACCCATGGCTGGCCTGTGCAAGCTGACTTGTGTTTGCTGGGCTTGGCCTAAGGAGCTGTTTAATTATGGTGTAGACATTTGGGCTCGGGTTGGAACCTGGTCTTTAGGACCTTGCATGGTGGGAGGGTCCCAGAGCCTGGGCTGCATCCTGAAACTGAATCACAATTAAACAACCACAGTTACATTAGCCTTAGCCTGAGCCGAGTCACCTGGGCCAGCTTGGGTTTTTAATTGCAGTGTAGGCAAACCCAGTATATGCTTCAGACTAGAGCATGCTCAGCACAGACAGAATTTTTGGGGAATTAAAGCTGCAAGTCTTTTATAACTTGGCCAAATGTGGGTGGATTTTTCACCATGATGGCAAAAGGCATATCCCCAACACACACGACACTCTGTTGCGAAACCTTATGTCTTTGCTCCATAGCATGGGGTCTCTAAAACTTCTCAATGAAAAGATTGTCAGCATTTTTTTTTAAACAGGTGCAAAACAATATATCTTTTCACTAGCCTCGTTCTCTGAAATGGCTGAACCATTTTGATAGAACATTTTTCAAAAATAAAGAAGTCTGTCATACATACACTGTGTAAAATTTCAGCCCAAATGTATCTTTATGCTGATATGCTACTTTGTTTTCATACACCCACATAATGCTGTATGTAGGTATGCACATTAAGGTGAGTAGACATTTCATAATAAAAATATGCCAGAGCTCTAGGGAATGCATTATAAAGTATAGGGAAGGGAAAACTGAAAATAGGGAGAGAAAATACGGTAAGTGAATTGTTTAATTTTAGTGTGTTTGTGTTTTGAGTTCAGATATGGATCCCATTTGTTTTGGTAAACAAAAGAAACTCCATAATAAAATATCTTGTCTATTTTGAATTCCTACCATGCCACTCTGAAAAACTGTAGGAGGCAACTTTTTGCCCTACATCCAGGATAAAATTGAAATTCAAGCTCTGATATTGGAATGCTTCCAGCATTTGCTAGGGGTATGCTAGAAATGGTTATGTTCCTGCATGTAGTCTCCCTTTCCTTTTCTTCTTGCTTGCAGCATATATTCTTACATTTGTTGATGGAAGGTGGAAAGAAATACTTTACAATGATACTGCAATTAGCAGACTCCCCTCCCCCCTTTTCACTTCTAATCTTTCACTTCCTAGGTTGATGGAATTAAGGAAGGTGGTTAATGTTTCTTCTTTGTATTCTTGCTTTTATATTTTAACTGCCAATTTAAAAGTAGAGAGACAAGGTGGATGAGGTAATATCTTTTACTGGACCAACTTCTGTTGCTGAGACACAAGCTTTAGAGTTTATACAGGTCTGCGTAAAACCAAAAGCTTGTCTCTCTCACCAAAAGAAGTTGGTCCAATAATAGATAGTACCTCACGCACCTTGTCTTTCTAATATCCTAGGAGAGAGAGAGCTACGACAACATGGCATATAATAATTTGAAAGTAAACATATATATAGCAAGAAACTAGGAAGGGACTTTGGAAATAAATCCATAGATAATCTACTGTTAGATTACATAAAATGAAAATGTGCATTTCCTATTTGGGGGTTGAAATGTTTTTCACCTACATACTAGCCAGAAGCTGATTTGACATTTTGAGGAGAGGAGAGGAGCTCAGCTGTTAAAAGCATTGCTGAGATTTTTTTTACTTGGTTGCTGTGGTGGGGGTTTACTTTTTTCATATAAGCTCTTGGGTAGTTAAATGTAAAAGCCACCACACTCTGCTGGAGAGGACTCATAAGGAAAGATTAAGGCTTAAATGTGTGTAGCCTGTCTCACAAATGATTAAAATGGAGACATGACTCTACAGCACTTCACAGCGTGCTGAGATGTCAGGCTTTGACACTCTTGAGTCAGCTCTAGGTCTCAAATTCTCAGATTCCTCAGTACTCTTTGCTTGTCAGTAGGGTTTTTAAAACAAAGTCTTGTGGTCTAGAGGTGTTATATAGACCAGCACTTTTGCTTCCTCCAACTTCCAGCCCTAGCTTGGCTTCTATTCTTCCCAAGCTTGTCGCTACCTCTTCTATTGCTGCTGCCTAATAAGCCCAACTGGAGGGGCTCTCCCTTCATAATTGGCAGTCTAGGTAATTTCTTTGGGACAAATCTTCCTTGTTCCGACTGCAGGCTTTTACGCCCTTTCATACCTGAGAAGAGGCTTGTCTGTGAAACTATATTGCATTCAAGCATGATTGTGAAGATCAGAGTTACTGATGCTGTATTGATCACAACTGATTGATCAGCTAACTCGATTCTTTGCAGCTGTTTTTGGAACACACAATTTTGTAGGTGAGCCCCTTGTCAGGCAAAGAGAGTATGAGATATATAAATAAATCAGGTGAGAACATCAGAGCGGGAGAATTATTTAGTGTGGAGCAAGGAGGTTTAACCAGGAGTAATGGGATAAAATTAAGAAAGGAAAATATCCCTGACAGGCTGTAGAATGGCTTACTAGTCGTAGGAATGGAAGCCCCAGTTTAGACTAGATTGTACATCACTAGAAAAATATACTGTATGGAGTACTGTGTTTGGGCTGGATAACTAAGTGTTGTTGTCGTCCCGCCCCACCTCCCTCCCTGCCTTCTAACTTTAGTAGTCTTTTTTGCACCATCTTAAGAAGTGTTTAAAAAACAAACAAAAACTCCAGGTGGATACCTTATTACTTTGGCCCTCCCCCTCAACTTCTTGTTACTTGTGTATTGCTGCTTATATTATTTCCTCACTTTATATCCAACTGCCCGTCTTTTTTTTTTTTTTTTTTTTTTGGTAACTTCTTTCCTGTCTGCTGGTTTCATACTTTTTTCTTCTCATAATTTCCTTTCTCTCCTCCCCTCCCTCCTCCCCCTGGGGAAAAAAAAATCAGCCTTTTTCTCAACAGCTCTCAGTCCTCTGAGTTTACATTGGTCTTTTGTGCAAATTCAGCCTCATCCGTATAGGCTTACCCTAATGTGGTCCTAATATAACTAATGCCTGTTTCCATTAATTTGTGTTCTGAGGCTAGACAGTGATGGATTAACAATCTCTCTGGTCCTGAATATGGTGAAAATGATACTGTACCCGCAGCCCTCCTTCACCTCAGACCGCTGCAGTTCTGAGCCATGGGTGGATGGGCACCCTAGAGCTCCGAGCTGTCCAGTGACTTCCCATTTTATCATGGATATTTCTAGTAAAAGTCAGGGACAGGTCCCTGGCTTCCATGAATTTTTCTTTATTGCCCATGACCTGTCCGTAACTTACTAGTTAGGACATGATTTTATTGTCTGTGACAAAATCTTAGCCTTAGTCATAACACTACTTCTTTAAATCCATCAAAAAAAAAAAATCAGTCTCCTTACCTTGAGTTGACACAGTAGGTTTCAACAGCAGTGTAGGTTTGTATGTGAGGTAGGTACAATAACCTGAGGACAGAACTTCAGTGTATTGGTTGGTTTTATCCTTCTGTGTTGGCTGTCTATTTCTAATTTGATGGCCGTTTGCTATTTATCCACCTTCTCCCATATTTCCCCTTTCCCCGCTCCCCCTCCCCTCTTAGGTTTAATACAGTTTTTTTCCTCGTGTTTTCATGAAAAGTTTGGGATGACCTGAATAGGTATCCTTCACATGCCCTTTCAGTTTTTGGTTAACGGAGCAGAAAATGTTTCAATCTCTCCAAGCTACTATGATGAAACAAATAGTAAACAATAATTAGTTTTTCTCTGTTTACAAAGTGCTGTGTGTCATACATAGAGTTTCAGAGAGCGAGTAGGAATATGGGATAGAGTTAAAGTAAAAATCAGTAAACCAACAAAACTAACCAAAATAAAACTGCATATATTCCACTACTGCTATGTAGTTTCCTTTATGTTGACCATACATTCTCCTTTAATCTCTTTTGATGATGGCAGCTAAATGACTATATTCTTGTTTGTGAGGATTTACCATTTACATTTAAAGAACAAAGTCCTACCTTAATTGTTAGCAGTAATGATTTGGAAATCTTGAATTGACTGCTGTTCTATGTGTTGTGGCTCTTGAAGCACTCAGCTGACTGAGTGTGACTGCATAACGAACTCTAGTGGTGTCTTCAGCAAAGCTGTGAAATTCCATAGTATTTATTTCACTGTTGTTTTGCATGACAAATTTTACTTCTATAAAATCTACAACTGTACTGTTTTTTGGCAAGAATATTTTTGACCATAACATTAGTTTAGTGGGTGAGGGATGGATTTGGTCGTCATAAAATTACTCATTAGCTGCCTTTGATTTATTCATTAATATGAATGCTATCTCACTAATGTGTGTGACTGGAATTAAAACGTTTTTCTAAATCTGTCTAGACCAAACAAAACCTGCGTCTCTACATCTAAAGACATGCTCACAGAAATTGAATTCTAGATCAATTTCATTCTAAATGAATCTTCGTCTTCTGTGTAGAGCACAAATTGAAATCAGGTATAGAGAACTGATAAAGAAGTTGACTTTTCTTAGCACTCCAGTAATGCAAGTGGTCAGTAAATCAGCAGCTTTCATACAAAGATAATCAGTTACAACTTAACTTCCTGAGGTGCAGAGGGTGACCTGTTGAATAGTCAGCTTCAGAAGTATTTGATTGCTGAGCTGCTTCCGAGGGGAGGGGCCTGTGGTAACTCTTCTTGCTGTTTCACCAGAAATGGGTGTGGATTGTTAATGTTGTAGGTCAAGGCTGCATCTACATCCTGTTCTTGTCTATAGTTGAAAAGCGTGGAGGAGCTTGCATTTTACTGGGTCTGTCTGTTAAAAATTAAAAAGGAAACTGAATTGTGAAGAAATGTAAAGGTCTGGGTAGTCTCTTGTTTTGAGTCATTGTAAAAAAGGTAAGTTTAGAAGACTGAAGCTAGATTTCATTCATTTGATTTGATGTTAGAATTGTACAACTTTTATTTACTGAAAAAAACACAATTGAAAACCCTGCTGCCTCTGGTTTAACCTTTTAACTTGGTAAAAAAGGTAGTGAGGAGTAATATTGAAACAGATTTGTGGGTTGGAATGTAAATGGATCTTTGCTGTAAATTAATTTTATCGTTGCAACAAGTATATTCTATACTTGGTTTTATTTCATTGAAAATTATCTCTGCAAAGGCTTTGTTTAAATAGTTTTAAAAAGAAACTGGTAATGCTTGAATATAAATATGGTACTTCTGTGTTTTGGGGCAGATTTTTCTTCTAGGTTTCTATATTTTTATGTATGTTGTGGCCTTTATATGAACTTAGAGGAAATTGAAGCTAGGAACCTGAACAAAATTAGCACAAAAACGTTGCCCTTTTTCCATAAATAAAGTTTTTACAGTCCCAAACTCGAGATAAGTAGGTAGATGTAAATTGCAATTAGTACTTCTCTAAAACACAATATTTAATAAAGGTTTTATTTACCTTAAGGGTCTAAGTTCTTTGCATTGGGTAGCACCATAATCCATTTCAGTGAAAACACTCTTAGTAGGATAATATTTTGAGGTATTCCTTTTAAAAAAACAAACAAACTAATATTGGAAAGCACTTACACATCTTATTTCGCAGTGAGATTTTCAAACTACAGGACAACTTTTCTGATTGGGCTATAACTTTTGGGTTAGTTGAAAACTCTTTCCTCCCCAACATTTATGCAGGACATATGGTCGGTCTCCAATGCTACCAGTATGCTAACAGCATATGGTTGAATGCTAAATTTTGTAGTTTTGACTCATGCAAAACTCCCATTGCCTGAAGCAATTCTGATGAACTGCAGGATTTGTCTTATGATGGGTCTCATGCTTAAATAATAAAGCCCTCTGCTTTTCATCCAGGGGTTCAGTGCAGCCCAACAATACAGTTGTTTCTTCCTTCCTGCCAGAGTCACTTAAAAATTATCTGGAACACCTGAATCAGCCCCCCTGTTAATCAGAGAATGCAGTTTTAGGGTCCTATTGGATTAATCACTGCTCCTGGTCAAGCAAGCTGAGGAATGGCTTCTCCCACATCTTTGGGCATAGTCCTTTGGCTAGGCCAGTGGTTCTCAAACCTTTTTTTTTTTTTTTTTTTCCACGGACTACTTGAAAATTGCTGAGGGTCTCGGCGGATCACTTAATGATCTTTCCAAATGTTTGTACTGTTAGCTAACTATTGTAAAGAGCTTTGGATAAAAGCACTATATAAAAAAAACTATAATAATTAACGTTTTTTGTTCTACAAATAAAAGCACACAACTCCTATTTTAATATCAGTAGTCTTACCTTTCTAATGTGATGGATGTGCTCTCTCTTTCTCTGTCCCCCGCCACGGCAGCCCCCGAGCGGCTGCTGGGAAGGAGGGGGGTGTCTCTCCCCTGCCAGAGCAGCCACAGAGCTGAGGCTGGAGAGGACGACCATCTCTTCCCCAGCAGCTGGAGCCCTGGAGCTGGGGAAAGTCGCCTCTTTCTCTGGCCACCGCAGCCCTGCATGTCCTAAATTTCCCCCATCCCCTCTTCTCCCCCCCCAGCCCCCCCCCCCCTCCCCCCCCCTTCCCCCCCCCCCCCCCAAGGCCACTACCTTACCTTACATGTGCATCTTCTCCAGGATCCAGGCACCTAATTAGTGGAGCCATGCCTGTCCAGCTCCACTAATCAGGCAGGTGGCCCTTCATTCTGTTGTGTGCGGCTGCCCAGGCGCACACCTTAGAAGGAACTATCTGTGGACCACCTGAATGGAGCTCGCAGACCACAATTAGAGAACCTCTTGGGTGAGGATGTAACCATATGAAACTATTCTTCTTCCAACCTCCATTTTGGACATCTTCAACATGCTACCTTCCTTATGTAGAGTGAGAGTCTCTTGAAAGCTCTAGGTGATACAAAGTGCCCCATCTTGCCAGAGCTTAGGGCACTCCACTAGCTCTCTCCATTCAACTCTGGGTCCACTTGAATGTCCTGATTCTTATCTTCACTTAATGGCCTGAGGATTAGTTATCTTAAGGACTCTGCATTCACAGTCCACCAAGACAGTTGAGTTTATGGGAATGCTACAGTTGCTGGAGCCCATGATGAAACTTGCAAGAGATGGGGACCAAGCATTGTCTTTGGAAGCTCTTTGACTGTGGAAATTGTGCCATCAGTGATCAGGGTGTGACTGAGTCTGTTTTGTGAGCAAGCTACAAGACTCATCTTTGCACAAGACTTTCTCAACAGCAGAGGCTGAAAAGTGACTGGGTATCATGGATGAGGAATGGAAGGTGACAGATTCTCCCATTAAATAACAGTTAACTAATTCCAGGAAGAGTGGAAGAGCAGAGCTTTTTTGGCATACAGAAAGCTGTTCATACATTTGTATTTGGCTTCTAGGTGCTAATATGATATAGACATACATCCTTTAATTTCAGTTGCTCTTTTTAGAGTTCATCCCTGCTGTTCCAACCAGGAGACTTTGAATCTTTCCCTTAACTTTTGCATATTCTTGTCAAAAAGTGGACTTGCTGTGCACATTTGGAGTGATCATAAATTAAACAATGAAAAGATTACATGAGATAGAGATGCATGTGAGATTTGGTTTTAATAGCTGCATTAAAATGATGGAAATGCTCACTCTTCAAAACCATTAATATTTAGAGCTGTTTATTCATACTTTTTAGATCTGTGTAACCAACTGTAATTTTATACAGATCTGTACATACCAGAACTCTTATCTGGCAGTACAGACAAGAACACATTTTAACAAGGATGTTTTTTTTTTTTTTTTTTTTTTAAAGGGCAGTTGCATTTGTGTCTAACGTTATGTATAACATAAACTCCTGTGTGCATGTAATGTGGGACAACCTTTTGATTTGGATTGTAACTCTCTGAACAATTGATACTTCCTGTCATCAAAGTATTAATGGAAGCACTCAGTATAAATTATGCAAATAAAACTGAGTGCAAAACACTAATCCATTATAAACTTTCAGCAATCTTAAGCATGTTTGTGGCTTTTGAGTGCTCATTGTGTATTAGGAACAGGAGTTGCAGAATAAATTGGCATTAATAGTTGAAGTTATAGGCATTTGCATTAAGATTTCATAAGTTGCAGAGGGGTGTGCTACATTGTTGCTTCTTGTCACTCTCACACAATAGCCATGAATTGTTTAAGTAGCTTAACCCTGAAACATTTGCTTGTCAGTGTGGGAATTGCAACCACAGTGGAGGTGAATAATAAACATGGCACACAAATCTAGTTCTGAGGGAGATGATTTTCAAGAATTTGTAAATCATAGGCTCACAAAGGTTATAAAAGAGACCAACTCTGTCCCTGTTTGTTAGATATTGAATTGCTCCTGCATTTCATCTGGAATGAATCATGAATTATTAGCCACTTATAACTGTGGATTTACATGGCATCTGTTAGAGTAATGTATGTTCCATGTCCTAAAGAGGTTGTAATTGAAAGTCCTAGTTCTGAGGTGGTGCCAAGTCCCTTCTGTGAATTTCAGAGTGCCCTAAAACTTCATTGAAGCAAGTGGGAATTGGGCACTCAAGTCTGAGCAGATTTGGGCCCCAAGGACTGATCCCGAACCTACTGAAGTCAATTGGAAATCTTTTAATTGACAACTTCAGTGAGCTTTAGATCAGGTTCTACCTGTGTGTTTGGGGGGTGGTTTTTTGTTTGTTAAATCTCCAGTTGGGAGACTCAGACTTCAGCTGTGGTCTGCTAAATAAATGTAGCCAGTCAGTTTCAGATCAGGTGATAGAGGCTCTTTTTTTAAAATTTAATTTAATTTTTTTTGGGGGGGGGGACAGGACGTGTGTGTTGTTAGCTCCACTCTTGGACTTGTCTGTCTTGTTTTGCAGGATGCTTTTTAAAATCTGTCATCAGCCACTAGGTCTAGGTGTATTTTAAATTGCCCCTCATATTCTGTTATCACTTCTGCTTTTTGGGGGAGTGTGTGAAAGTGTGTAGAAAGAAAAAAAATTACACACTGCAGCAATAGTCAGCACTCTTGACTTGACTATTTTGAGCGCTGTGTCAATGGTCAAACTGCAGAGTGCTTTGGAACTGAGTAAGAGTAGCACTTGGATAGTGATTTAAAAATATGAACTCTTGAACATATTTTATAAAACAAGTACGTCTGGGAATGGTAAGATACCAGGTAAAGGAACTTTTAACATGATGAAATCCAACTGTTTTCATGTATTGATAGTAAGAACAATTAGCAGGTCAAAACAAAGTGCCTTGTTACATTCAATATAAAAGTTTGAAAATTTGCATACGGTGTTATTTTTCTACACACAAGCCATGTTTTTTTCATAGTTCCTGTTCAGGGTTTAACAGGACACTGACAAAGTCATTTTTAAGAAACCAACTTCCTTAGCTGTATTAACTTTAGAATATTAGAAGTATCTTTGAAATTCTGGTGCTAAAGTTTTCAGTAATGCAGTTTTATTTTCTTACTTTAAGAGATCCCTTAGGCTTAGGACTTGCAATACAAACACTGCATGAGTACTAAAGAGCCCAAAAAAGGGAACGGGTCCATTTTTATTACTGCTAAGTAGGATGCAGAAAGGAAACAAACAGTAAAAAGCACATTTAAAAGGATCATTTTTCTTGGATTGTAAAACTTTTGTTTATTTACACAGTCTAGGGCTTACACAGCTAGTAGAACATCCTTTTTAATTTAAAACGTACTTTCCTTGTACTTCCATTATATTTTAAGATTTGATTTACAGTAAGCAAATGTGAATGAGGGTAGTATTTTTAATCAGATAAATGCCCTCTTGCTGGCTTCATGGTCTTGCCCACATTTTCAAAGGAATGCCTTATAAGCCAGGTGCACTTCCAAACAGACACAATTTATGTGAATTATTCTGTGTTTTTCATTCTGTAATACTGAGCTACTG